CCCAAATGTCCATCATCAGATGAGTGGATAAGGAAACTGTGGTACATCTACACAGTGGAATACTACTCTGCCATAATGTCTTTTAAATGTCCCTGATTGATTGATATTGAGGTTGCTTACAATTTTTTTTGCAATAATTATCTTTGAACATGTAGTGTGTGTAGCAACATTGGTATTTCCAAATGTGATGCCTAGAAGTGGAAATGCTGTATCAAAGAGCATGTACATGTTCTGCTCTGATAGATAATACTTTTCTCAATGTTTGCACCAATTTTTCTGCACGCCAGCAATGTATAAGCATGCTCATTTCTCCACACCCTTCCCTAAACTAAAGGTTATCAGTCTCTATGGTTCGTGTCAATCTGATAGATCCCAAAATAATTTTTGAGTAGCATCTTATTGTTTTGGCTTGCATTCCTTTAGTTATTAATAAGGTTAAGTAATTTTTAATATAATCATTGGCTATCAATGTCTCCCACTTTTGACATCTCTAACTATTAAAAACTTATTCTTGCTATTAATCTTATTTCCTATAAATTCTACTCATTGATCTTNGAGCTACCAAATGTCTTCCCATTGTCCCTGTCTTTAACCTGATGTTCAACTCCACCCTTCTCTAAGAATGATGTTGAAATAGTTTGAAATTCCAAGTTCTTCCCTCAGAAATATCCTAGTTATCAATGTCCCCTTTCAAAATATGTCTTCAGAACTAAACACAAGACAGCATATGTGTTCTGATAAGTGCTGGGTACAGAGTGACAGTAACCACTGCTGTTTTGAATTTTACTATAATAATGTAATTTAAGTTGAAATTAAGCATAGTCAATTAAAACCAAAAAGTGTATTTTCACATGATCTACTTCTAAATCAGATTTCTCCCTTTTCCCAGCATGCAGCTGATTTTTGTTGGCTTTGGTACAAGTTTTTGTATTTATTCCACTCAGGCATTCATCTGCCGGTTTTGGAGCTTTACTAGAGACAATAGATTATTTTATTTTTTAAAAGTCTTTCGGGTAGCATATGAGTGATTTTACATCATTTACAAATTTAATACACACATTTTTTGTTTGTAACATATTAAGCAGTAAGAGACCAAGGATGTAATATTCCTTCAAAATTTGTATATATCCAGCCTAGTCCACACGCTTTGGATTTGGTCATGGAAGTAACTCAAAAGCCACCCTCCTGTTTTTATACCCAGCCTTCATTCCTCTATCCAGGCCTAAAGCGAATATAGTACGACCTTGTCGAGTGTGATATCCAGATAAGCTTCATTTCTGGTTTCACTCCAATAACCCTGCCCCCCCCCCCAAAAAAAAAAATCAAAGGGAAATAAAACAAGTAAAACTAATTGGACATAGCTTTTATTATTTAATTTCTTAGTGAAACTGTGCTAGATCACTAATTATCATGCCTTTTCTATCTCCTTAAAGGGTTATTTAATTTTTTGAAGAGATAATACAGTCACACCATTCACAATAAAGATATAGAAAAAGATATACAATGAAGTCTTCCTCCCAGTGCAAATCCCATTTGTGCCCCTCCCCCATCATATAGCCACTGTTACTGTTTCTTGCATATCCTATCAGAGTTTCATTTTGCACATACAACTAGAAAACACTGTGTAATGGTAGGAATATATATATTTCCCCTGATTTTATATCTAATTGGTAACATTCAGTATCTATTTTCTACAACTTAATTTTTTTTTTACTTGACAATACATCTCAAAGACATTCCATATCGATACATCGAGATCTTTCTTGTTCTCTTCGTTGAGTTACTACCATGTAATTCTGCAGCATGTCTTTCTTCATAAATGTGATTACTTCCTCCATAGAAGTGAGAGCTTCATATGGCTTTAAAATTTGTGACAAAATATTTGCTCACATTTTTTTT